TCACAGTGTAGGTCTATTCAACTAAATTGCTCCTGGGGCTACAGTTACTGCAGGTCAACATCTCAGGGGCCGAACATCCAGCAATTAAATTATTATGTAAAAAAATAAAATAAAAATAAAAAACAAGTATAACAAAGATCTGTTACCTTTGAAATAGTTTATTTTGCTGTATTTAATCATGAATACAACATACAGAACCTAAAAGTAGTAGCATAAAAGTAGTGATAATTAAACAATATCAAAAACAAAAAGAACACATTATGCCTCTTATTTAACACAAATATTTTGACATTTACCAGCTTGTAGCCAAGAATCTGATGTTTCTGTAGATACCAAACATGTCTATGTTTAACTAAAATAACTCAWTGTAATTAAAGTAGAAAACCGGACATTTGGGCTTAAGACATGAATGAACCACTTCGTGGGCCGAACTTTGGTCACTTGCCGGACAGATGTGGCCAGCGGGTCACCAATTGAATAGTCCTGTCATAGTGTGACAGGGTCTTTACCTACAATTTTGCAACTTTCATTTTTAGTGATGGTTTTGATGATTTTGGCTCTCAGTTATAGCTTCACTAACATTACCTTTTGGCTACAGGTTTGGCAATGTTAGCTTTTCATTATGGTTTGGTAATTTTGGCTTTCATTTACTGTTTTGCTAATTTTAGCCATTAGTTATTCTGCTTGATTTTTGTTTTAYCTACTGTTTTGCTCATTTTAGCTTGTAAGTACAATTTTGCTAATTTTATTTTTTAAGCTATTGATTTGTTGGTTTTAGCTTGTTGCTAGTGTTCTGACAATTTTAAGTTTTAGCTACTGTTTGCTTGTTTAAACTTTGCACTGTTTTACTTAATTAAATTGTGTTTAACTGGTTTTAGCTTGTGTTGTGATTATCTGAGTGTCTGTTCTGATTGTTTCAGCTTTTGTTTTGCTCCTTCTAACGTCTGTTCTTTTTGATTAAACTTAAACAACTCAGTTTTAGATGAGTTTCAGCAGTGTTTCAGCACTCAGAATTCACAGAAAATGTGCAATTTTCTATTTAACAACTAACAGTCTGATGAACTAAAGGTTATCAGGTTATCAAAGTGAGTGGTGAAAGTCTCAGTGTGACTCACCGGACTGTGGATGGCAGTAGTTGGTGTGATTATTGCACTGACAGGGCCGACAGCCGGTGCTGCTGAAGTGGAAGAATCCTGGGTGGCACTCGTCACACTTGGGTCCATAGACTCCCATCTTGCACACACAGTTCCCTGAGCTGGAAGAAAAAAGAAGAAAAAAAAAAACAGAACAAAATATAAGGAAAATAAAAATCTAAATGTACAGTATACAAAAACTACAAATGACAGAGTCCAAAAAGGTTTTAATGTGAAACCATGTTTTGCATCATTTTCTGTTCTCCATCTTTTTGTTGTCCTCTTGAACCCCAGCCAGTCAAGGCAGACAGCCCTCGAACTGGTTCTAGTACTGCTGGAGGTTTTATTCCTATTATTTATTTTTAATCCAAGCAGATTTTATTCCAAAATGTCATTTTCACCAAGTCATTCAGAAYGGTGTTCTCTCTAAWGGCTTATTTATTTCATAATGACACTTTTCAGCAGAATGACTTCAGGCCAGACAAAGAATGATTCAAAAGACTTGCGGAAAAACAAAAACAAGGAACTTGGTGTCCCTTGCTTGGACGTGGGTCAAGGGGCCCCACCCTTGAGCCAGACCTGGGGGAAGGGCTCATCAGGGAGCGCCTGGTGGCCCGAATGGGCTCAGCCCGAATGAGCTACATGGCTTTGCATTCTTGTGGACCCACCACCTGMAGGAGGGASTGTATGAGTCGGGTGCATGATGACATGGGCCGTAGCCAAAGGCAGGGACCTTGGCGCTCTGACCCTGGCCTACCAAAGCTGGCTCTAAGGACATGGAACATCACTTCCCTGGTGGTGAAGAACCCTAAGCTTGTGTGTGTGGTTGAGAGGTACCAACTAGATACAGTTGGCCTCACCTCAACACACAGCATGGGCTCYGGAACCGATCTCCTCAGGAGACATCCTTTTGTTCTTGATTTGCCCATGGTGAGAGGCGTTGGGCTGGTGTGAGTCTACTTTTAGCCCACGACTTGGTGCTTGTGTGTTGGAGCTTTCCCCAGTAGATGAGAGGGTAGCTACCTTGTACCTTCAAATTGGGGGATGTGCTCTTTCAGTTGTTTGTGCCTACATATCAAAAGGCAGTGCAGAGTATCCGGCCTTATTGGATTCCTTAGTAGAGGTGCTGGACAGTGTTATTCTGCTGGGGGATTTCAGTGTTCTTGTGGGTAATGACAATGTGACCTGGACGAGTGTGATTGGGAGGAACGTTCTCTCTGATCTGAATCTTAGTTGTGTTTTGTTGTTGGACTTCTGTGCTAGTCAYGGTTTGTCCATCACAAACACCATGGTCGAACATAAGGGTGTCCATAAGTGCACATGGCAACAGGACACCCGTATTGACTTTGTAGTTGTGCCATCTGATCTGCAGACATGTTATGAACACTTGGGTGAAGAGGAGAGCTGAGCTGTCAGMTGATCACCACCTGGTAGTGAGTTGGATCAGATGGCAGGGAAGATACCGGACAGATCCGGTATTGAAAATGAGAGCAGGTGCTGGGAACGCCTGTCAAAAGAGYCTGTCAGAAAGATGTTCCACTCACACCTCCAGGAGAACTTTAACCACGTCCTGGGGGACATTGAGTCCAAGTGGACCATGGGCCATGTTCCATGCCTCAATTGTCAAGACAGCTGCCTTGAGCTGTGGCTGCAAGGTTGTCAGTGCTTCTYGTGGTGGCCATCCTTGTACTCGTTGGTGGACACCATGGGTAAGGGAAGCTGTCGAGCTGAAGAAGGAGTCCTATTGTTGGCTGGTAGGACTCTGGAGGCAGCTAAGGAGTATTGGCTGGCCAAGAGGGTCGCAGCTCTGGCTGTTACTCAGGCAAAAGCTTGGATGTGGGAGAAGTTCGGTGAGGACTCCGACGAGAACTTCCGAATGGTGTATTCTCTAAAGGCTTATTTATTTCATAAGGAATACTTCTCAGACCCTCTGAAACCCACTGGCACATCTTCCATGGAGGAAGCTGAGTTTGGGGACTTCAGGGTTGGTCTGTTCATAACTGGTGCTAAGGTTACTGAGGTAGTTAAAAAGCTCCATACTGACAAGGCTCTGGGGGTGGACGAGATCTGCTCTGATTTCTTTAAGGCTCTGAATGTTGTGATTTTTTCCTCAGTCCCCTCAACATGTGTGATGTCAGCTTCTCTAMTCTCTAGGATCCTGGGGATCCTAGACGGGATGCAGGGTGAGCTGGCTGGTTTGAAGGGACTTTTTTCATCTGGGTGTCCATCTAAGCTGGCGGCGCCAGGGGGTTTCTGAAGCCCACCCTCCCCTATCATAGGGGATCTTATTGTTCCATATTTTCCTAACAGAGCATCCCCGAAATCCCAAAAGCTGTATGGAAGTGGGCCCTCCTGCTCTGGTTGACACGCCTTTGCAACATTGCGTGGACATCGGGGCCAGTGCCACTGGAATGGCAGACTGGGGTGGTGGTTCCCTGCTTCAAAAGAGGGACCGGAGGGTGTGTCCAATTACAGGGACATCACTCTCTTTAGCCTCCCTGGTAATATCTATTCAGGGCTATCGGTGAAGAGAGTCCGATTGGTGGTCTAACCTCAGATTCACAATGTGGGTTCTGTCCTGGCCGTGAAACACTAGACAAGATCTTTTCCCTCACTTGGGTCCTCTAGGAGTCATGGGAGTTTACCCATCCAGTCTACATGTGTTTTGTGGACTTGGAGAAGGCATTCAACCGTGTTCCTCGAGGTACACTGTGGGGGGTGCTCCAAGAGTATGGGATAGTGGGTCCGTTGTTAGGGGCAAATCAGTCTCTATACAAGCGGTGTGAGAGTTTGGTTTGCATTGATGGTAGTAAGTTGGACCCATTTAGAGTGGGAGTTGGACTCCGCCAGGGCTGCCCGTTGTCACCAATTCTGTTCTGTCATGGTCTATGTCTGTGTTTTTTATTTATTCTAGTTTTCTGTCTTGTCTTCTGTTTTCTTCCTCCTGTCTGCTTTTGCTCCAGCCCCGCCCACTCACACCTGATACTCATGTTTCTCCCCCAGGTGTTTCCTGTTTGTGCTCATTATTCTCACCTTTATATTATGTGTCAACATCACTTCCCTGTCTGATCATTGTTGCTCACAGCCTGCATGTTTCCATGTTAATTATCTTGTCTTGCCACGCCATGGGAGTTTTTTGAGCTGCCCTGTCAGCACTTTTTGTTAAAATTAATATTTTTTGGGAACTTTGTTCCAAGCACCATTTGTGCCTGCACCCTGGGTTCTTTCCTACCTGCAAATTTATGACAGAATGATCAGACCAACAACTGAACCCAGCAGGCAGATTTTTTCCTCAGTCCCCTCAACATGTGTGATGTTAGCTTCTCTACTCTCTAGGATCCTGGGGATCCTAGACGGGATGCAGGGTGAGCTGGCTGGTTTGAAGGGACTTTTTTCATCTGGGTGTCCATCTA